TTCCCTCCCCAAAAATACATATACCAAAATAATATCAGAAGTATACATACAAACTACAAAATAAAAAATGCGGAACGACTTGATATGAGAAGATTCAGGCCGGATTGATGATCATAAAAAGTTCCTATACAATTCTATAGTATTATCAACGGAATGTTTTCTCCCATAATGCACTGCACCTTGAATATATTAGCAGTAATATGCTCATTGTTGCAAAATTCGGATCGAACTGCTGCCTTAAAGTATCAGCGGCAAGGGTCACGTGAACAGCAACGCCATATTATTACTAATCATTTAATCACAGGTGGAGTTCTCTTTCTGGATATCTTACGTCTTACAAGAGATAATAGTACTGCCCAGTTTGTTTTAAAAGACTTGCCTTTTACTGACGTCAACGGCATGTGTCTCCATTTTTGGTAAGCATAATTATGCGTATTACATTCACATTGAATATTAATTTCACCAGATAATACAAACAAAAATTACAATATCATAGAAAAAGGAAAATAAAAAAAAGAAGAAAAAGCGGCGATAACTCTTAAATTATAATTTGGTCACGTTATTCGAAATGAGTGTTTTCCGTCATGTGTTTTTAAAACAAGTGTTTTTTCCTGAATATATTTAATTTTCTTATACTCTTATAAATATTAAATATCCCAGGAATATTTAAAACGTTTTGTCTTGACATTTGTTTTGGTTTTGCACTTTTAGAGTCAGTCACCTGCACTGGAGACAGAACTAATCTGAGTAATAGAAGATCGTTTTGGGCATTTTCTTACATATATATATATATATATATATAAATATTTATATTTTTATTTCAAACATTTTTCTGATATTTATTTACTTTATTATGAGGTTTTACTTATTTGTTTATTGTTTTTTTGTTAAATGCGATAGTCAATGTTATAAAAAAAATCTAAAACAATTTTTTTAAATTACAATAAATCAGACAAATTAGCCAGTATGACATACAACCTTTGAACTTTGTTATATTGTTTACTATTCTAAATTACCTAGGTATTATACATCCGGGTCATTTGGTACACTGAACGTATACGTGGATTATGGCACGACATTTCCGGGAAAGCAGTTATACTTCACTGAATCCATGGCAACCGGACAGTGGATATATGCAAATGTGCCTGTTGTTAGCAATGTTATTCACACGGTAATGATATTAACTATGGTACATAAATGAACTTAGTCGTGGTTTGGTGTGATAAGGGGCAGTACCACCACTAAATACATAGGCATCCTTAAAACACAGTACGCGTGTGGAATAAATATATGTAGATTTCTAAAACTGTTGAATATTTAATGACTGATTGATTGACTAATTAATTGATTGATTGATTGATTGATTGATCGATCGATGACTTGATTGTTGACTTATAAACTTGTAACAAAAACAACCAAGTTAAAACAGCGACACGAAAAAAGGTATTTGTTTGAATATTCTGCAAAAAAATCTATAATATTTAAAACCTCATTTGCATGGTGTACACAATTAAAAATTATTGCCCGTCTTTGTACATGATATATTTTGTAATGACACCATGGTATACTGTAATTTGATAAAAGCATAAAATGTGAGAATTACATTGCATTATGTTACATTACATTACGATATATATATATATCAGGGGGAAATTCTTCTCCCCTGGGTTCTCCACACGTGTAAGGGGGGAATCTCGTCTGGGCTCTATATCTCGTCCCCTTGAGGTACGGGATCGGGAACATCACTTAAGTTTTACAGTCAAATAAGACACACACAACGAAATACGTTTCAACTCTCGTCTTTAGTCGGTCAGTCGAGCACTCTGTAAGACACGGCGCCCTGGGGAAAAGTCCCCAAGACTATCGCAAGGCTGACGCAAGACTCTGTCCCTAGACTGCCCAAGACTCGCCCCAAGACTGCGTCTCTCCTCGTGTACTCGCCAAGACCAACTAAAAACAAATTTATTCACTTTCAAAACCTTAACCAATTACAAAGCAGTAAAAAGACTCTAGGGCGTAACCTTCAATCATACAGCCAATCACACTAAGTTCTGAACGCGTCATATCTTTTGATTAATCGTTCACTATATTAGTAACTGCGAATACCAACTGTCAGAAATAGTAGTCCGAATAGCGACGGTTATATCGTAATTAGTTCCAAATCACTGAACCAAGTTCCGTCCAGAACCTCGATGATCCTAAACGATGACAGATATAACACAGCCATTCGCTAGTAATCAGCTAAATAAGTCAGTCAACAGATACACGCAAATAAATTCATCATATATACATTGTATTATACATTACGTTATATACATTGTATTATACATTACGTTATATACATTACATTACAAAACATCACATTGCATCAAATTACATCACGTAATTTGACGTTTGGTAAGAATTTTATACAATGCTAAATTGATCAGACTGTTATTCAAAGTGTCTGTTTCTGGTTGTAGGTTATTATTGAAGTAGTTTCTGATGAGAATTCGAACGGATTTGTTTGTATTGATGACATAAGGTTTACCACGGGCTGGTGTGATGTATTACCTAAGTCAGCAGAAGCACCCCCTCCCACGGATACACCCACTACACAACCGATGGCGGGTGAGTCATGAATATTCAACATTAGAACATACCATTGTCCAAATTTGGACATGGCATTTCATTGTAAGACATCTTCAGACGATAGAGTGCTGTTTTATATATCGTGTTGTTTTGTTCGGTGTTAAAGTAGTTGTGAAGTCAGTGATATAAGTTTAAAATATAAACGAACTAAAATAAATAACTTTATTATTATCGGCCACGCATGCGTAGTATCCTTCCGTATAGTCGTTAGTTATGTGCTTTATTACATACGCTAACAACAACTGAGAATAAAGAGTAAAACAACTTGAATTATGGGTATAAATAAACAAACAGACAAATATGTATTACGCGTGTTTCGGCGTGCGCATGTACCTGTCCAAGTACTACGACATTTTTGGGTTTTGGGTGTAAACAAGATATAGTGATTAATATATAATAAAAATATTATATATTATAATAAACATAATGAACTTCTCTATTAGTATCTATAATCGAAGATAGTTAAAAGGAGTGTGAACATTGAGCTTACGTATTTTTTTCTATCAATTCCCTTAAGTCACGTCCTCTAGAGAGTCGAAGCATTTCTGTGTCGATTTGAACGACATTCCAGCCACTCATCTACGTTATTTTGACGTCACAGAAATGCTTAATCGACAGAGGATGAGACATATTGACAAAGTGTATTGGTGCATATTTCACATGTTTTCAATTTGTATATAGATATTCAGTGTCATGAATGATAGGAATTAGTTTCAGCAACTACATGTCATGGATGTGATTGACTCCAGTTTGTGGTGTTCGTTTAGTAACTGTATGCGGTTGTCATCCCCTAATTTTTAGAACTTTATATGTATTCGCATTGTGTTCTTGATCCAGGTGTCAATGACTGTGACTTCGAATTAAACATCTGCCCGTGGTCTTACTCTTCTGACAGTGAATTTTATTGGTCACGAGTTCAAGCCAAGGATGTGGAGGGGCATGGACCTAGTGTTGATCATACGACTTCTAGTGGTAATTACCAAATCTATCTCAGATATGTTTCTTTGCTCATAGTAATACAGATTTGGTTCAACTTGTATTGTCTGCGCAAAATAAATAAATTATGCTATTTTGTTCAAAATTAACAAAGAATTTATGTTTCATCAAGGAATTTTGCCGGGAAATTGGCCGTCTTTTACATTGGGGATTACACACAATGTTCCATCTATGTCTTGCATTATTCCAATAATCTCCGCAATATGTGTTGTGACCTCTCGTGGTAAAGCGTTTGTGACATACATGGATGACACGAAGGTTGTTATCTTTTGATTTGTATTCGTCAATCACTGAAAGTTCTGTTTTTGAGAGATTTTACAGTTTTCTAGACAAACGACCAATGACAGATGTCGAATTGAACGACATTGATTTCACACAGATACGCCATTTTGACGTCACAAATTTCGGATATAAAAACCATAGAACTAACATGTATACTTGGTAATCTTTCGGTTACTGTACTGAGAATTAATAGTTGAAAAGGACTAAAGATTTGTAAATTTTTATCAAGTTTAATCGCTAACCGCTGTTTTCTCCCGTACTTGAAAGCAATTGCGGCTAGCATGCAAACATTTGATATTCGCTTAAAGCGGGGGAGTCGTAACCTGCGCATGCGCCAGATGACCATAGCGTGTCATTGTTTACTACCAACAATCGTCTACCCATGAGCCTTTGCGTTTTTAGCGTGAGTTGTTATCGTCGCTTGGGACTCAATCACCTGCGCGTGCGCAGGTGACGACCCCCCCCCCGCTTTAAATCTTATCCCGTAATTTGTGTAGCCTGAACACGACTAAGTACTGTCAATATAGCAGTGTCTATAAGACGACGTTTAATGCGGGACAAACGTAGGTTAAAGCGCCACAGTTTGATAAGGATTCCGTGGCGACGTATACAGTGCATGCGCGCGCGTTGACCACGGCCATTTAAAGAGACATACACGTAGTAGACGATATGCGCGTTTGTATTTTTTTTGAACAATCAATGTATATACGTCACATGGTACCCATGCCGTTCATGGCGAGTCACATGTGATGCATTTCAAAAATAAAACTCATCCCTGTATTATGTAATTCGTAAGGTGAAGGATGGTATATGTACATAGAAACAGAGTCAACTCACCAAACTGTTGAGAAGGCCTTGTTTGAAAGCCCGGAACTTGAAGTTTCTGATTCTTGCTTGACGTTTTGGTATCACATGTACGGCACGCACGTAAATTCGTTGACTGTTTTCATCAAAGACGAAGACGACGAACCGCTATGGACCCGCCAAGGTGGCGACGTCGATGAGTGGCGGTTTGCCAGCGTTCCGCTGGATTCTGTTGACCCATTTAAGGTACTGTTTACACAGGGTAAAGTAATCTATGATCTTGTTTAATAATAATAAAAATGTCAGCAGCAAACATGGCAGTATTCGTTCAGTGAAATAATGTAAAACGAGAATGCGCATGCGCTCTATATCCACCTGTACGTACTGGTAATCTGAAGCGCACACACTGCCGTTTTATGTTGCATTGAAATGAATACTGCCATGTTTATCGTCAAAAAATATGTTTTCATTTTTACGATAATTCATATGTTTTAATCAAGATTTATTTTCAAACAGAATTATGTAATTATTCCACATAGCCTCTCTGATGATCACACTCAGTTTATGCAAAAATGCAATGTACTTTACTAAACGCGTTATTTTTTTTTTTTACCAAGGTTATATTTGAAGGAAAACGAGATAATTCGTCCCATGGTGATATAGCAGTAGATGATATCCGTATAATAACTGAACAATGCCCGGTACCACGTAAGTTCATCACATCACATCATTTTGGTATTATTTTTTGTTTGTACATCTTGGAATATAGACTCGAAAAAGGCCGCCGAGATCTCGTTGAGAACGGGGCAGCCACGAGACTTGTTTTAGTCCCAAAATAGCGTTCCATTCTCTACCGCCATCGTGTTATTGTTGGGGGGTGGGTGACTGACATATAAACGAAATTGTGACGTGATATTGTTTGGCAATGATTTCACCCACTTAGAAAAAAATAACCGACCCTATTGGACGTTTATTTATTATGGGCTATCCGATCATATAATATACAGGAAAAGCCATTTTTTTAATTATTTACCCACGTTTTTTCAGCTTACCATTCTATAGGATGTGATTTTGAGCAGCATCACTGGTGTGACTGGACACAGGATAAGATTGACGATTTTGACTTCAAGAGAGCTAGCGGACCAACCCTTTCATGTGATACCGGACCGTCCGTCGACCACACCACAGGCACGGAATTCGGTAATCGTACACCACAAAATTTGATTGGATCGCGGACATCAACAGCGCCACCAATTTCGCGCATGCGCCGACAACCCGGGTGTTTTTGTTCAGATTATTATTATTTATAAGTTAGATTTTTCTGAAATTTACCGTAAATGTTTCATGCCTTTAAACAAATTTGTTTACTTTTTCTTTTTTTCGAGGTCATTACATTTACATCGATTCGGGAGAGCAAAATGGAGGTGATCGTGCTGCTCTGTGGTCAGGATATTATAATTGGGACAGCTCGTCTTTGAAGAAATGTTGGATATTTTATTACAATTATCACATGGCCGTGACCGCGACGATCGCATTGTATAAAGAGGTGAATTTCTGAAAATCAGTGACCAAGAATTTTCCTTTCAGTTCTTAACTCTATCAGGAGTATTGCGTCATTTTGAATCTAAATACCAACCCGTTAAATTTCACTCTCGTTTGGTGTGTTTTTTTGCTCGTTCGCACGTCCAATATTTGTTGCTTGTTTTCTTAACTTGGTCACCGTAATGCAAATTTACAACAATTGTCTGGTCACGTGTTATACAAAGATTCGCACGAAAAATCTCCCTGATACTGTTAAACAACGTCGTTCAAGTTGTCTGTGGTTGGCTGTCATGTGATGAGCTATATACGTACGTTAAGTTGTGAATGTTCCAATATGGTACTGTAAATTTGGGAGTTCTTCAAACAAAATTCTGTAACGTGTAACGCAAATTTTCTGGATAATACAACAGAAGATTTGTAATCATGTTTATGTGTTCACAGTTCAAATATATGGGCACCTCGTATAAAATGTTACAAAGCGAATTTGACGTCACGTTACTGTTCTTTTTGCCGCATGGCAACCTTTCGCTTACGACAATTTCCGTTATTTAACTACGAGTACCCAAATACGCCAATCAGAATGCAACTAAACGTAATTGTGTTTATTTTTTTACAGTTCAAATATATGGGCACCTCCTACACAATATTACAAAGTGCATTTGAAGTGCCCTTTTCGGCGCATGACGACGTTTGGCTCAGTGGACTGTACCCGTTATCTTTCTACGAAA